TGCCGCGGTGCATTGTGGGAGAATCCCAAAGGTTTCCCCAGGGTGACTCTGTGAGGGATGGGGACCCCCGGGGCGGTGCGGGGGGGCTAACCAGGGGCCGCGTTGAGGTGACAAGCTTCTGGACGAACCCTGCACGGGTTTGTGAAGCCCACAGGCAAGGAGGGGTGCGTGGGGTGCTGCAGTGGTGACAGGGCGGGGGACCGGGAAGCCCTGCCCTGCTCCCGAGCCAAGCGGCGGGGTGCTCTGCCTTGCTACGTACATGGGGCGAGGGCAGGACCCTGCCAGACCCTGGGGCCCTCGTGGCGACCCTGCGGCATGGATCCTGGCCCAGGTTCCCTGCCTAGAACAGAGCTGCCCGCAGTCCCCAGGCTCTCCAGTGCCCTGAATCAGCAGTTTCTCCTGGCTTGCAGCTTGCTGGGGCTGTGCCCCCATGGCCCTGCTGTTCCTGGGTCGGCTCTGGGCTCGCAGGGCTTGGGGGGGGCTCTGCCCAAAGGCAGGGGCTGCTCTGGGCCCCACTGCCTGGCAAAGACCCCTCCCCATCCTCACCCCTGGCCTTGGTGTGCCTGCAGCTGGCGCTGTCTGGGCTCGTTGGCATCGTCTCCTGGAAGCGGCCGCTCACCCTGGTGGTAGGTGTTGGGGGGGGGTACCCCTCTGCAGGCGGGGTGTCAGGATGGGGAGGGCAGCACAAGGGGGCCGAGGAGCCCCGTGTGCCCCCGGCCATGCAGCCGCATGGGTTGGCTCCCTGCTCTGCAGCCCTGCCCGGCTGGCAGCCCCTCTCCTCCCTGCTGCAGATCACCTTCTTCACACTGCTATCGGTGCTGGGCGTCATGCTGAGCCTTGCTGGGTCCATCCTGTCCTGCCAGAACGCGCAGCTGGTGAAGTCCCTGGAGGCCTGCGAGAGGGTGAGGTTGGCTGGGGGGCTGCCACGGTGCCCCCACGCACCCAGGGAATGGAGCATGGCTCGTCCCTGGCTGCAGGCCTCTGGAGACACGGGGAGCTGTGATCTGGTGGCAGGACGTGACGGTGGCTGTCGGGGGAGAGCACAGCATCTGGAGGTCCCTCACGGTGTTCCTTGTCCCCAGGAGAGGGACTCGTGTGTCTGCTGCCAGGCCCGCTCGGAGCCCCTGTCTGCCCCCC